CTGTCTCCAAAGCCCTGTGCTCTGCTCCTGTCTCCAAAGCCCTGTGCTCTGCTCCTGCACTGCTGCACTCTACTCTTCTTCCTGAAATAATATCTTTTTTTTTAAGTCCTTCAGCAGCTTCTTTCTGCACCCTGTTTGAATCTCTGCTTGGGGAGACCTCCCTGACGTCCTAGCTGTAAATGTCTTGCTTGCCATGCCCCAGCTTCAACCTCTGTTCCTCACCCTACTCTGCCTTCTGTCTTAGCACTCAGCACTACTGAAATGGTGTATTTGTGGACTACTCTATGTGTGACTTGCTCTAGATCATAGATCATCAACTCTAGAACAGGGCAACGTACTCCCTCCACATCCCCAGCACCCACCCCTCAGTAAGAACTATTGTGTATTGACTGAATGAAGGCAGGTTCCCACTCCTAAGGAGCTAGTAGTCTCACTGGGAATGATGCTGGTGGTGTGGCCGATGGTGTTTACACTCGCTGATCAGAATCTTCCTGGTAACTATATGAAGGCACTGTGTCTACAGGGCATGTCTACTAGGCTTTGGAGAATCCTGTGACTTGCCTACCATTACACAGTGGCCAACAGAAAAAGCAGCCATTGAAACAAGGCCCCTCTGATCCAGCACTGTGTCTTCAGCCCTGAGGCCTTCGACCTTGCAGACCAAAGCAAGTCTGAAAAGGTAACCACAGTCTGTTCAGGTCGTATTCCTGAGGACACAGCAGTTCCGCCCACTTGTGGACAGGCAACACCCGTTTATGCTTGCCTGGTAGAAAAGAATGCTGACTGCACTCATTTCACTCTGAAAGCAGTCTCTATGCCAGAAGCCAAAACACACAGGCTCGGTAAATATTTTGTACTTGGTTATAATAGCAAGAACCCAAATGCAATTAGTGCTGGCTCAGTATGATGCTGTTGTTCACCAGCTTTAGGGAATACATAGGTTCAGCTTTAGCTTGAAGATGCCCCTCAGCTGTATTTCAGCTGAGTGTTTTAGAATTAACACCTTTTGATGTCTTTCAGCTCCTTTCTGAATTCAGCATGGTTTGTCCTCTGTCGTGGTTTACAGTCAGATTTGCTGTGAGGCCCTGACTATGGGGTCCAGGGTCCGGGGTCTCCCAGCCTCCAGTGAATGGCTGGGCAAGGAGCTTGCTGTCTAGACTAGGAGAGAGGGGCGTGCAGCCTAGCTGAGACTGGCAGGCTCCTTTCTGACCAGCTGCAGATGTGATCTTGATATGTCTAGCAAATTCATTAAACAATAAAAAGAAACCAGTGAAATTAATTTTAACAGCAGATGTTAGGTAATGCAATATACTCAATATCATTGCAATAAGTGGTATCTAGGGCTATGTAATGATTAAGTCTGGTTGTAGTTTACATCTATAGCATATCTTAGATTAGCTGAGCTACATTGCAAGTGCTGAGTGGCCACATATGGCTGGTAACTTTTGTGCTAGAGAAGGCATCTCCTAATAGTGAGAGTGGGTTTGGGGTGTTGAGACTGAGATCTTTATATTGAGCTGAAGAGGCCCAGCTGAGTGTCTCTTGGGGTCTGGCAGAGAGCAGATCTGATGCCATCCACCGACCTGCTGTCTTCACACTTGAAGACAGTCTCCTTTTGTGTCCTTCCTCTCTGAACTAAATGCTTCCCAGCATTGCCAACTACTCCTGATGGTGTCAGCTTGTTCTTGGGAACAGATTCTAGATTTTCTTTCTTTCTTTCTTTCTTTCTTTCTTTCTTTCTTTCTTTCTTTCTTTCTTTCTTTCTTTCTTTCTTTCTTTCTTTCTTTCCTTCCTTCCTTCCTTCCTTCCTTCCTTCCTTCTTTTTTCTTTTTTTGGTTTTTTGAGACAGGGTTTCTCTGTGTAGCTTTGTGCCTTTCCTGGATCTCACTCTGTAGACCAGGCCAGCCTTGAACTCACAGAGATCTGCCTGGCTCTGTCTCCCGAGTGCTGGGATTAAAGGCGCGCGCCACCACTGCCCAGCCAGATTCTAGATTTTCAATGTCCATTGAAAGGCGGCCATGTGTAGCCTCAGCACCCTCAAATAGATGGAACCCTTGAAGTCTTGGTCCTCTGTACATTATTCCTGGGGTACGATCGTCACAGTTCCTTTATCCCATAGATGCCTTACCGTGGTTCCCATGGCAAATCTTGCTTATGCTCTTATGTGCACTATGCCTGGATACAAGCCATACTGGGCATTTGTAGAATGCAGAGAAGAACATTAAAGAAAACGCCACAGTTAAACAATGTGAGAACATTCTAATGACCACGACATGTTTTTTCTCTTAGCATCAGAAATTTCAAGACAGCTTTTGATGCATGATCTAGTATACTAATGTAATAGACTACCTCAACTAACCATTACTAATAATTTTTTAAAATTTAAGTAAACTTTGCAAAAGCTTTTATGTCAGCAGTTAAACTTTTGAAAGAAAGACTTACTCATTTTTATTTTACATGGATGGGTGTTTTGCCTGCATTGGCATCTGTGTACTGGATGTACAATGATGACCACGGAGGCCAGAAGAGGACATTGGGTTCCCCTGGAACAGGAGTTACAGGCAGTTGTGAGGCACCATGTATGTGCTGGAAACTGAACCTGGGTCCTCAGGAAGAGCAGTCAGTTCTGTAACTGCCGAGTCACCTTTCTGGCCCCTGCAACTGAAATTTGAGTGTGTTCTCTCTCCAAACAAAGCCTTGCAACTTCAGAGCTCTTGGGCAGTACATTCTGAGTGGCTGTCAGTGACTTCTGACTGCTGGATCTTTTACTAAACCGGTCTACATCCTTCCATTTACATTGCCTGGGGCTGCCTTCTCTCTGTCTTCATACAGGAAGTTCCTGCTCACCACTGTGTTTTATTTTCTATGTCACCCTTTTTACCAGATTTAGGATGATTTTTAAAAGTGTTTTCATCACATGTCTTCATTTTTGTGTGTGCATATGCTCGTCAGAGGACAACTTGAGGAGTCTGTTCTTTCCACACATGTGGCTCTTAGGAATTGAACTTAGTTCGCCAAACCTGGTGGCGGGTGCCCTTACCTACTGAGCAGGCTTGTGATTTGGGACAATTCTTGTTTGCACCTGCACTGCTGCATGCTGTCCCTATGGAAGCCATTCCTTTGTCGTGTGTGTGTGTGTGTGTGTGTGTGTGTGTGTGTGTGTGTGTGTGTCTGCCCAGTTCTGCTGGATTACAAATTGTGTTAAAGACAGGGCTCAACCCTGGTAGAAGGTGTCTAGA